AGGGCTGTGTCCCTGGGGGACTGGGTGCCGTGCAGCACAGTCCTGCCGGAGCGGAGGGGCCCCTGGAAGTCACGCCCAGCAGAGCCAGACTTAGTTAAATCATAGACGTTCTGGGTTTGTGGCTCAGCGAAGTGTGACCGTCAGCGTTTCACATGGTTTGCCACATGCCCTTGGCTCTCACTCTGAGCAGTTTGAACTCATCACGGCCGCACACAATGGCCAAGCATGGGGGCAGCACAGTGAGCAGGTGTCAGGACTGCTAATCTGTAAAAGGGCGTCAGGCGTGGGGCGGGGAGCTTGGAGGAGAGGGCCGGGGCGGGGGTCCCCCGCACAGTCTCCAGGAGAGTGGGCACAGTCAGAAGCAAGGCAGTGGCCCTGAGGACAGGAAGAAGAAATAGATGTGAGAATTCTTGAGTAAGAAGAATTAGCCGGACTTGGGAATGGAAGGAGGGAGAGACGGAGGGCTGGAGGGATGAGTGGGTGGGTGGGTGGATGGACTGATGGATGGATAGGAGGATGGATGGATGGATGGATGATGGATAAAGGGAAGATGGGTAAATGGATGGAGGGATGGATGATGGATGGATAGGAGGATGGATGGATGGATGGAGGGATGGATGGATGGAGGGATGGATGATGGATGGATGGATGGTTAATGGATGGATGGAAGATGGTTAGATGATGGATAGATGACAGGTAAAGGGTAAATGGACAGACGGATGGATGGATGGCTGGATGGACAGATGGATGGACAGATGGATGGATGGATGGATGGATGGATGGACGGATGGACAGGCTCACAGCCGTTCTCTTCCATTTTCCCAATGCCACGCACAGAACGTGAGAGCTGGCAGAGTGGGTGGGGGCGTCCCCTTGAGAACGGGGCAGTGTTTATTCTCAGTGCAGAGGTCACTTGCCTGCTTGCACATCAACCCAGGACCTTATCACAGACAGTGTTCACCATGGCTGGGCCCTTTCCCGCCGCTGAGGAGCTGTTCACAGGGCGTTCTCTGGCCGGCCTGGGGCTGCCCTGTCCTGACTCTCCAGGGGGCAGATGAAGCCGTGGCAGCTCGGGACGCAAGGGGGACTTCTGCGCCGGAGCTCCCGTAACGGCCCCCGCGGCTCACTCCTTGCAGGATCTGCAGTGAGGACATCGAGTGCAGTGGGCTGACCATCCCCAAGGCCGTGCAGTACCTGAGCTCCCAGGATGAGAAGTACCAGGCCATCGGGGCCTATTACATCCAGCACACCTGCTTCCAGGACGAGTCTGCCAAGCAGCAGGTACCTGGCCTCACCCCTGCCCCCTCCACCCCCACAGAAGGCCTGAGCAGGGCCCGGGTGCATTGGCCTGACCCTGCATTTAGCGATGGGTGGGGGCATTTGCAGCTGGCTCCTCCTTGCCCTGCCCAGCTGTCTGGGGCAGGGAGTGTGCTTCGCATTGATCAAGGTCAGATCTGGGCACCTTAACCTGTTTGCGGAGCGAAGCCCTCTGGTCTGTGGACATTTCTCGGGTGTGTTTTCTCCCCTGGTGCCCAGAGGTCAGCCAGCTCGGGGAGGAGTGCCCCTCCAAGGGTCCCTGCTGAGTTGTGGCCTCTGGCCACGCTGCCCATTTATCCGGGCTGGCCACATGGCCCGTTCATCCGGGCTGGCCCAGGCCCTTCTGAACTGAAGGCAGGCTCTTCGACCTGAGTCATCAGAGGCACCTGCCCCACAGGTCTATCAGCTGGGGGGCATCTGCAAGCTGGTGGACCTCCTGCGCAGCCCCAACCAGAACGTGCAGCAGGCAGCGGCCGGCGCCCTACGCAACCTGGTGTTCCGCAGTGCCACCAACAAGCTGGAGACCCGGAGGCAGGGCGGCATCCGCGAGGCCGTCAGTCTCCTGAAGAGAACCGGCAACGCCGAGATCCAGAAGCAGCTGACCGGTAGGGAGCCCGGCCGGCGAGAGCCAGGGGACGTGGGGGGCCAAGGCCACAGCCGAGGCCCAGATGGGGTGCGGGCCGTCCCTGGAGCTGGGCCAAGCATAGGGCGCAGCTAATGTCCTGGATGTCCATGGCACCAGCCATAGCCAGGGTCAGGGTGTCCACATGGTGACCCTGGGCGCTATGCATGCCCACAAGGGGTCAAGGTCTTTTGGAGGACATCGGGCAAGGGCTGGAGGGCTGGTGTCCAGGCAGGATCCATCCCAGCAGCCCCTGGGTTTTCAGGAGAAGGGAGAAAGGAGGGCTGTAGGGGGCAGGGGCACCCACCCTGGCCCACGCAACACGCTGAGCGCTCAGCGGACACAGAGGCAGAGTCCCTGTGTGCTCGACTGGGGACGGTGAGACCGTGGGCTGAGTAACAGATATTTCTAGAATGCCAGCAGGTGGAAAATAGAGCCACTGGGAGATTCTGGCACTAAAGCGCATGCGGAGAACGTCGACCCGTCCGTGTTTTTTGGTGACTTTCCACGAGCATGATCTTGACCTAGATAGAGAATTCCAGAACCCTGCCCCCAAAGAACCCACGGTCCATCTGAGACACTGGGAAATGGGCTCACAAAGCAATGGGACAGTAGGTCTGACGGACCAGGTCCAGCTGGGAGGTGACGCGTCAGCAGGCTCGCTGGCCCGAGCGGGCTGGGGTGGCCCCTCGGTCGTCCTGAGCCTGGCATGACCGTCCCCGACTCCAGGGCTGCTCTGGAACCTGTCCTCCACCGACGAGCTGAAGGAAGAGCTCATCGCCGACGCCTTGCCCGTCCTGACCGACCGCGTCATCGTCCCCTTCTCCGGCTGGTGTGACGGCAACAGCAATGTGCCCCGAGAAGTCGTGGACCCTGAGGTCTTCTTCAATGCCACGGGCTGCCTGAGGTGAGGGAGGGGGGCGAGCAGGTCCACCTGCCCCAGGCAGCTCCGCGTCCGTCAGCCAAGGCCGAGCGGGGCGAAGCGCGGAACAGGCACACCTGGTCCTCGGGGGCCAACCCCAAGGTCCATAGCCCGACTTCCTGTCCTGGACGTGGCTCTTGACCCTGCCACCTCCTCCGACTCTAAGAGTGGGACCGCCCGGGCGGGAACACGCTGCCCGCTCCCCCTGCCCCCCCCACCACCGCTGGAAAACACACTTTCTGTGCCGCCTGCAAGGCCATTCTTTCCGACGAAAGTCTACTGATGAGTCACTTCCCGGCTGTGGTGCTGAAGCCCTTTCCCACATCCACTGGCGGGGAGATGGCAGTGCTTCACCCCAAGTATCCCACAGCTCCTCCTCAGGGTGTGGCGAAGCCCCCGGGGGAGAGGAGGCGGGACCTGGGTGTGTTCGTTCCCGGAGAGGTTTACGAGCTGGTCCGAAGGTGGAGCAGGTCCCTTTGGGGTCACACCTAGCTCTCTGGGGTTTGTCTTCCCCAGGTCCTGGGGCACACCCCAGAACGGGGTGCAGTTGGCATGGGCTTCTGTGTCTCAGCTTGGGCTCCTCCTCTCTGCCAGCCTCCAGCAGCGGCCTCCAGGGAGTGGGGGGAGGGACTGGGGAGATGAAAAGCGGGGTTAATTAAGGACCTCGCAGGGCTGCGGGGCTGCCTGGGATGAGCCCATGGCTGGGGGCAGACGCTGCTCCCCTGGGGAGGGGCCTCTGGCTCCCCCCCCAGATCCAGGTTCAGGGCCCACGAAAGAAGCGGGGCAGGCGGGAGCTCCCAGCCCCTGTGCACGGCGCCCACGAGGGCAGGTGCGTGCCGGGCCGGGGCTGCCAGAACTCAGCTGCCTTCGTCCATATTCCCTTCTCGGCCCCTCCTCCCCAACCTGCGCCCCCCGCCCTCCCCTTCCGGGCCCCGGCCCCTCACCCTTCTCCCCTCCCCTCTCCGGCAGGAACCTGAGCTCCGCTGACGCGGGCCGTCAGACCATGCGAAACTACACGGGGCTCATCGACGCCCTCATGGCCTACGTGCAGAGCTGCGTGGCCGCCAGCCGCTGCGATGACAAGGTGACAGGGGAGCCCCACGTGGCGCCTCCCCTGGGGGCGACCGCAGGCCTCAGGGCAGAGCCTGTCCACTGGCTGCTCGGCCCGGTCCCCGTGGGCACGTGGCTCTCTGATCCAGATAGAACACCTCCTGGGGGTCGCCGGGAGGCAGGACCGGACACGGGGGTGGGGGGACAGGTCTGCGCCCAAACCCCAGGCTGGTCCCCAGAGGAAAAGGCGGGCCTCCAGGAGCAGCGGCTGGCCGGGTGCCGGGCTCTGATCGTGGGGACGTGGGCTGGGCCAGCACCTCACTATTGAGGGCTGGGGACATGGGGCCTGTCAGAGCTGCTCCTGAAGGCGTGACCCGGACAGAAGGCGTGTCCTCCGACAGCCCAGTGACCACAGGCGCGTTGGCCGTAGCAGAGGGAACAAACTTCTGTCTGGGGTCCTCCTAGGCACTCAGCCCCATGATAGGCACTTTGCATGTCCAGGAGTAGGTGGCCAGCCTCCTTTTACAGTCTGGAGCCTGGGGCCGAGAAAGGGGGGCCGGCCCCTCAGCTCACAAGGGCAGGAAATCCAGGTTCCAGACGCGCCCTGGGGGATGAGTGCTGCCCGCGGGGGGTGCGGGCAGTGAGGGGCCCCGGCCCCAGGCCGGCGGCGGCTCAGGGCGCACTCTGCTCGCCCCCAGTCCGTGGAGAACTGCATGTGCATCCTGCACAACCTCTCCTACCGCCTGGACGCCGAGGTGCCCACCCGCTACCGCCAGCTAGAGTACCACACTCGCAACGCCCACACCGAGAAGTCCTCCACCAGCTGCTTCAGCAACAAGAGCGACAAGATGATGGTGAGCAGGCGCCTGGCCCCCGCCCGTCCACCCGTCTTCTCCGGGGCCTCAAACCAGCCCCAGGGGACAAGCCTCACCTCCCCCCTCACGTCCTGCGTGGCTGGTGAGGGGTCCCCGCTGCGTCCCTTGCTGGCCTGGCTCCCTCTGCCTCCCCGCCTCCCGGTTTCCCAGAAGCAGAAGGTGCCGGGGTCGGGTGGGGTGCTGGGTGGGGCGCAGGCTCCGTCCACGGCACGGCTGCGCGGACCAGGCCCTGGGCCACCCCCGGACCCAGAGTGGGTCAAGCATGGACTCTGGGAGGACATCAGGGTGTGAGGCCCCAAGGCAGCTGCACACAGCTGGAAGGTTTGGGCAGCAGCCAGCCACACCGTCCGAGATCCGAGCGGCTCCCTGTCCCTTAGACACAGCCTGGGGACCATAGCCGGTCCCTCCCTCAGCTTCGGAGCAGCATCATGGGGTCCTCCCCCGCCCAGGAGCCAGGCCCCTGGGGCGGGGCTGGTGGGAGCGGGCTCCATCCCCTCAGAGGCCATGTGCTGACCTGGCCCTTGTCCGCAGAACAACAACTACGACTGCCCGCTGCCCGAGGAGGAGGCCAACCCCAAGGGCAGCAGCTGGCTGTACCACTCGGACGCCGTCCGCACCTACCTGAACCTCATGGGCAAGAGCAAGAAGGACGCCACCCTGGAGGCCTGCGCCGGGGCGCTGCAGAACCTGACCGCCAGCAAGGGGCTGGTGAGGAGTCCCCGCCCCCCGCCCGCGGCCGGGCCGCAGCCCCGCCGCCCCCTGCTCCCTCAGAGTCTGTCCCGAGTCGCGCCGCACAGGCAGAGGCTCAGAGCTTTGCTCTGCAAACACCGCAGAGGGCCGGGCACCGGGGGGCGGACGAGGGGCAGAGCGGGCCAGCCCCAGGGACCCCCAAACAGAGGGCCGGGCACCGGGGGACGGACGAGGGGTCGGAGCGGGCCAGCCCCGGGGACCCCCGGGGTGTAGAGCGTGGCAGCCACCTCCTGCTGGACTCTTTGCCCCGTGATGCCCAGCCCCACGCTGGCCCTGCCTGAGGTGGGGGGCAGGGTGAACAGCGTTTGTGGCAAAGGGGGGGTCCCCCGTTTGTTGAGGTGATAGAGGTAAAAAGAGAGAGTTTGGGGTGTGGGCAAGTCCAGGGTGAAATGTGGCAGAATCAGAGATTTTGGGGACAGACCTGGTTTGGGGACATGATGGACAGCCCCAGGGGCAGCCCTTCGGCGGCAGGCGGCCGGCCACCGTGTCTGCACGGCGGACGGAAGGAGCGGGGTAGAGGCCGGCCATGGGGGGCTGACAGTAAGTGAGAAGCCTCTGTGTGCAGTGAGGCCGGGGGTCCCGGGGCCTGAACCGGCCCGGACCGGATTATGGCCAGCATGGCTCGGTGGCTGGGTGAGCTGGCCCATGTCCGGGGGGCTGTGTGAGCACAGACTCCCCTTAGCCGTCCTGTCTCGGGCAAGCGCTCGGCAGACATGCATGGAATTCTTCGGGGGCGGGGAAGTTGGGAGCGGGTGGCCGGTGCTGCTTTAAGGGACAAATACCCTGGACCGTACGGTGTCACATGAGGGACACTGCTGGGAACGATAAGGGGGCAGCGTGGGGGCCAGTGCTGAGCAGTCTGGCCGCCCGTGAGCAAGGGGTCGGAGACGTGCTCACCAGCCCTCGCGTTCCAGGCTGGCCCGGGGGCCGGGGCCGGGGCCGGGTGGGGAGGGCGGCCCGTGGGTCCCGGGAGAGCCTGTGCCGGAGCCGGAAGGGGGGTCCCTCTGCGTGGGGCGCCTGGGAGCCACAGGCCAGGTCCTCACTCAGCGCCCCCCGCCCCGCCCAGATGTCCAGCGGCATGAGCCAGCTGATCGGGCTGAAGGAGAGAGGCCTGCCGCACATCGCCCGCCTGCTGCAGTCCGGCAACTCGGACGTGGTGCGGTCCGGGGCCTCCCTGCTCAGCAACATGTCACGCCACCCGGCGCTGCACAGAGTGATGGGTGAGTGACCCCGGAGAGGACGCCCTGGGGGGCGCCTCGGGAGCGGCAGCCGGAGGTTGGGGAGGCCGAGCCCCGCGTGGGAGCTGGGACGGGGCCTCGAGGGGCCGCCGGGCTCGGCGTGGCTGACAGTGGTCACAGACAATGGCCCCTGGGCCCCTCTGTCCCTCGGTCACCTGACCCCACGAGGCCACTCCTTTCTCTCCAGGGAACCAGGTATTCCCTGAGGTGACCAGGCTCCTCACCAGTCACACCGGCAACACCAGCAACTCGGAAGACATCTTGTCCTCGGTCTGCTACACCGTGAGGAACTTGCTGGCCTCCCAGCCGCAGCTGGCCAAGCAGTACTTCTCCAGCAGCATGGTCAACAACGTGGTCAACCTGTGCCGCAGCAGGTGCGCGGGGGACGGTCCTGTGCTTGCCCCGCGGGGTGGCCCCGTCTCCGAGAAGGCACACACGCGGGGCTGCAGTGGTACCTCGCCTGGGAGTGGGCCTGAATCCAGAGCCCAGGGCACCCGGGAGCCTAGGGTCCAGCGGCCGGGCCTCAGGGCCACGCACTTCTCGCCAGGGGCCTCCGGGGAACGGAGACCTCAGAGGGCCAGTGGGAGGCGGGAGCAGCAGACCCGGCCGCACGGGAGCTTCAGTCTGCCCCCCGGGGCCCCTTGTCCGGGATAAGGGCGGGATGAGGGCAGGGGACCAGAATGGGGCGTGCATTCCCCCCATGGACTCCCCCCCCAAGGAGACTCCTGGGTGCCTCCCGGTGGCAGGGGCAGGGTCGTGCCGCTGTGTAGAGTGACCGGCCCGATGCTGAATGCAGCTCCTTGCTCACGCACCCCGGGCCAAGGTGAGGGTGGCGGGGAGGGGGACCTGGGCTCCTGCCTCCCAGGGTCTGACTGTCACGTGACCTCCTCCGCTCCCAGCTCCTCGCCCAAGGCCGCAGAAGCTGCCCGGCTCCTCCTGTCAGACCTGTGGTCCAGCAAGGAACTGCAGGCCATCCTCAGACAGGTAAGGCCCCCTCCGAACCCTGCGGCTTCCCAAGGCTGAGCAGGCAAAAGCGGGGAGGCAGGTCGGCCAGGGAGCGTGGTCAAGCTCTGAGCAGACCTCGGGGCTCGGGACGCGGTGGGCAGAGGACCGCAGGGAGACGCGCTGGACGCTTGGGCCGAGGGCGTGGCGTGCGCCCTGGCTGCACTGCAGACCCTTTCGTCTCAGACCAAAGAGCTCGAGAGGCTGCCTTTGGCACTGGGGAGCCAGGAAGACACCTGCCACGTTGGTGAGGGGCGGAGGGGACGCAGGCACCCTGGGGCTGCTGCCTGTGTCCAGCGGTGACCTCAGCACCCGGGGAGGGGGACAGAGGGCGGGCGGTGGGAGAAACGGAACGTGGGGTGGACGCGCTCGCGCCTCTGCTTGGAGACTGGCCACGGCGACGGAGCAGGTTGGCGGAGGGGTGACGTGCAGAGGCTGAGTCTGAAGGGCGGATTAGGGGCCTGGAGACAGGCCGGGCCGTGGTGGGGAGTCGTGGAGGGGACCCTCACCGTGGGGCCAAGGGAGCCTGTTCCCTTTGGTTCAGCCGGGAAGAGGGGAGACAAAGGATGGTAAAACAGTGCCCTTCAATGACGGGGTGGGGATGTCTGTCTGTCCTGACGTGAGCGGGAGCAGGCAAGGAGGCGGCCGGGGGTCAGAAGCCGGGAGGAAGCCTGGGCCGCAGAAGGCCGGGCGCGACCCGCATAGGCTGGAGGTGGGAACCAGCCTGCAGGGACAGTGACGTCAGGGGACCAGGCGGGACTGGGGCTTGGACCGGCCGCAGTCTCAGACCTTCGTGTTCCCACGGTCCGTGAGAGGCTGGCATCTGGGCCCCGCCACCGCCCGCATGCACCCCAAATCGGGCACCTGCTGTCTGCTAGGAGAATCCGCGGGGCCACGCCCCGGTCTCCGCCGGGCAGGAGCGCGGGAGCTGGGGCCGGGGAGACCCCCGCCAAGGCAGGAACTCAGATGCACTGGGCCTGTCGCTGACTCACGGAGGCGGGGGGCCTCGCCGCGGTGGCACCTCTGGTTAGGCGCATCTGGGCCCCGACACACATCCACGGCATGTCCCGAGGGCTCGGCTGGAGCCTGAGGACGTGCTGGGCGCCCAGGGCGGCCCCGCGCCCCACCCCAGGGTGCTCACCGGTGCTGCGTGTCCCCCCACAGCAAGGCTTCGACAGAAACATGCTGGGAGCCTTAGCCGGGGCCAACAGCCTCAGGAACTTCACCTCCCGCTTCTGAGAGGAGGTTGTCCCAGCAAGCTCAGCTCACAGGTAAGGACCCCGCCCCCCGGGCCCTGCCGTGGGCCCTGCCGTAGCCCTGGCCGGTCTCCGGGACACAGGCGGCCTTTGGTCTGCAGACATGAGGGCTGTGAGGACAGCTGCGTGCACTGTGTGGCTGGGGTGCCGTGGGCTGTCCCACCACAGGACACCAGGATGTGCAGCGTCCTGGCAGCGTCCTCTGGCCGGAGGTCTGGGCAGAGCTGCTGGGGCAGCCGTGTTGGGAGCACAGTGCCGTCTACTCGGACCGCAGCGTGAACGGCCCCCGGCGGTCACACCGTACACTGTCCTGGGTCTGGGCTTCCCCTGGCTACTTCCTTACCCTTTGTGTAATCTGCTGTCCAGTCTCCGCACGTCCCAGAGTGGACAGGCCTACTCCCAGCAGATGATCCTAGGGACCAAAATCTCAGAACCAGGGTCTGTGACAGAGGCCGGCCAGCCCCACCTTTCGGTGGAGCCCCAGGCGCTCGCTGGCGCACACGCCCGGCCCAGGAACCCGTCTGCAGATGAGCACGTGGAGTGTTTCTGATTCGAGGAGCCAAGGGAGGCAAAGACCACACTTAGACACTGCAGCCAGACCTCGTTGGCCTCGGAGAGGGTCACCCGAGGCGGCCGCGGTGTGGAGCCTCTGCAGACAGCCAGGGATGAGGCCAGGGCCTCTCGAGCTGAAGCCCGGCTGGCCTGCCAGCTCCCCGACACCTCGGGAGGGTCCTGGTGCACGGAGGCTGCCCCTGTGGTCCAGACAAAGATCAACTCAGACTGCAGACCCCCTTTCCCGGCAGATGGCCATCAGCATGAAGACGGGAATGGGGGGACACTCAACTTAGCAGATTGTCCAGGAGCTCAGCACTGGGCTGGCACCGTGTGGGCCGGACGGGGCGCGCACGGCAGTGGGGACAGAGCCGACATGCTTCTGAGTCCACCCGTGCATGTGTCAGGGTGTCCTCGGATCCGGCCTTAGGCCAGTGCTCCCCCGAGCAGATGTGGTGGGAGGCGGGTAGCGGCTGGACCTGCTGGCATAGGACGCGTCCCTGTGCCCACTGACCGGGCGGCTGCTTGTTTTGCAGAAGTGACCGGCCCCTCGGAGGAGACCGCAGGCTGGCTGGAGGGTCGTTCTGCCCATCTGTGCAGCATTTGGAAAAAGTCAAGCAACTGAGAGCAAATCTGAAAACCGCGGATGACGGAAATATTCTTAGATTCTTCTTTTTTTTCCCTTGGGAGATGGCAAGCGACGGGGGTGGGGGAGGGGGCCTTTCCTGAGTTAAAGGGGCTTTTATGATGTCAATACTTCTTTTGCTGAGAAACGGTATATATACGTGTGTGTAACGTAGGTGTGTGCACGCGTGTGCACACGCGTGTGCGTGCGTGTGTGTGCGTGCCTGGCGGCACGACCGTGAACTCCAGGAAGCAGGGAGCCGGGAGATCGGGGCGCACAGGTGGCGAAGCCGTCGTGCTCACGGGCCAGTGACCGTGCTTCTTGTTAGGGCCGCACTTCCAGAAACGCCCGTGCCAGGTGGGCCCCGCGGGGGGCAGCCTCCGGGGGCGGGGCGGGCGGGCCTCCCTCTTTGGGGCGGCTTTGTGGGAAGGGCCCTCGGCCTGGTGCTGGAGTTCACGTGTCTGTGGGCTGGTCTGGCTCCTGGGGATGCCGCCTTTCCCACGGAGCCACGGGGACTGGGCTGGGCAGGGTGTGGGCCCTGGGGACGGGCAAAGACAGTCACGCCCGCCTTGCTACGTGAGGTCTGTCTGGGGACTGGGAGCTGGAGAGGGGCCTCCCCAGTTCCGGGCTGTGTACCCGTCAGGCAGGCGCAGCCTCTGGTTCTTCGGGGGGCTGGTAATCTCCCCGTTTGGGGAGAAAGAAGGGCAAAATGGTGCTCGGAGCCCAAGAGCCGTTCGGGGCGGTGGGGGGAGGGGAGGGTGTTTGGTCTTCGTGCTTCCTGTGGGCCGGGGGCCAGGCTGGGGCCAGGCAGGGACCCGCTGCAGCGTCCAGTGGGACAAGGGCCACTTGGAAATCCACCTCGGACACTTCCCGCCACGCCTGCACGCCTGGGGGACCGGAGCGAGGGCGGGTTTGGGTCCCAGGAGACTCGGAGGAAGGGAAGGGTCGATTGGCAAAGGGAACTGTCCTATCAGGCCACCACCAAGTCCAAGCCCCACCAGAGGCCGTCCCTGCCGTCCCCACCGTCCCCCGAGCCCCAGCCGTCCTGTCTCCAGCCCGTCTTTGTGAAAACTGCAGGGCGTGATGATGGAGGCCCGTCCAGGCCGCCGGCACGCCCAAGGCCCCAGCTTCCTGCGCATTTCAGGCGGCCGAAGGCCCCCGAGGAAAGCTTGCTGTAAATAGCCCTTAGCATATGCTGTAGACGGAGCAGGACACGGGTGCCCAGGGCCCTCCCGTTCCAGCTGCCACCCGTGCCGGCATCGTCAGCTTCAGGGAGGAGTTAGCTGCCCGCCGTGCTCTTCCCCAGGAGAGGAT